TTTATAGCATATGTTTGAATATGTAAGGGTTGAAGGATACTGTTTTGATCTAGTACTATAATTTTGTTTATAGCATATGTTTGAATATGTAAGGGTTGAATGATACTGTTTTGATCTAGTACTATAATTTTGTTTATAGCATATGTTTGAATATGTAAGGGTTGAATGATACTGTTTTAATCTAGTACTATAATTTTGTTTATAGCATATGTTTGAATATGTAAGGGTTGAATGATACTGTTTTGATCTAGTACTATAATTTTGTTTATAGCATATGTTTGAATATGTAAGGGTTGAATGATACTGTTTTGATCTAGTACTATAATTTTGTTTATAGCATATGTTTGAATATGTAAGGGTTGAAGGATACTGTTTTGATCTAGTACTATAATTTTGTTTATAGCATATGTTTGAATATGTAAGGGTTGAAGGATACTGTTTTGATCTAGTACTATAATTTTGTTTATAGCATATGTTTGAATATGTAAGGGTTGAATGATACTGTTTTGATCTAGTACTATAATTTTGTTTATAGCATATGTTTGAATATGTAAGGGTTGAATGATACTGTTTTAATCTAGTACAATAATTTTGTTTATAGCATATGTTTGAATATGTAAGGGTTGAATGATACTGTTTTGATCTAGTACTATAATTTTGTTTATAGCATATGTTTGAATATGTAAGGGTTGAAGGATACTGTTTTGATCTAGTACTATAATTTTGTTTATAGCATATGTTTGAATATGTAAGGGTTGAATGATACTGTTTTGATCTAGTACTATAATTTTGTTTATAGCATATGTTTGAATATGTAAGGGTTGAATGATACTGTTTTAATCTAGTACTATAATTTTGTTTATAGCATATGTTTGAATATGTAAGGGTTGAATGATACTGTTTTGATCTAGTACTATAATTTTGTTTATAGCATATGTTTGAATATGTAAGGGTTGAATGATACTGTTTTGATCTAGTACTATAATTTTGTTTATAGCATATGTTTGAATATGTAAGGGTTGAAGGATACTGTTTTAATCTAGTACTATAATTTTGGTTGTAGCTATCCAAGAATAATACCCTTTGAACTGTATATTAAATATGGATCTCGTGAGCAGTAGTGTTGTGGTGCAATCACAAGGGCATCTGTTATTTCACCCCAGTCAGATTTTATTCAGTGGTTTTACTCCGACCCCACGAGAGGTTTATGTTTACAGCTGTTGGCAGGTACATCGCCAACTTTTTGTTATTTGTAGCATGTCAAATTCGGACCGCGAACAACATCGCAGGTCCTTTCATTGTTCTTTTGTGTTTTCGTCATCATTCGTAATACAACATATTGCATGTACACACCCTCCTTAGGGACAGGCGTTACTTCCACATAAAGGTGACACGTCATGAGATATCACAAACATCCAAGGTGGCATTAAACCTAGCTCAGTCAAATCTAAGGAACAATCAAACAATTTTGTGTCGAAGTTGAAGGGACTTACGAAAATACTTCGAGTTATCGGATTTTCGAGACAACCGTAAAAGATGACAAAATAGGGAATACGCAAATACACAGCTTTTACTTCGAGACAACCATAAAAAGATGACTAAATAGGGAACACGCAAGGACAAAGCTTTTACTTCGAGACAACCGTAAAAAGATGACTAAATAGGGAATACGCAAGGACAAAGCTTTTACTTCGAGACAACTGTAGAAAGATGACTGAATAGGGAATACGCAAGGACAAAGCTTTTACTTCGAGACAACCATAAACAGATGACTTAATAATGAATACGCAAATACACAGCTTTTACTTCGAGACACCTATAAAAAGATGACTAAATAGGGAATACGCTAGGACACAGCTTTTACTTCGAGACAACTATAAAAAGATGACTAAATACGGAATACGCAAGGACACAGCTTTTACTTCGAGACAGCCATATGTTCGACACATCCCGTGTTTGACTCTAGTTTCCTGATTATGTCAACTTACATATATTTTTCAAAAGGTCAAGTACCAGACGGCCTGAGATTGCCTGGAGCGACCACATAAACTGAGTAAATAATTTCACCTGCTGAACTGACATGGGAGGAACGTTATTGTCCTTATATAGAGCATTTTGTAATTGAGACCTGAGTTTACTGTGTTTTTTCCCCTCTTAAACCTAGATTATTGTTCTGATGTATTGTCTAACAGCTACCCCGGCTGAACCTTGCCAACGTGTCTCAGAATATTCTCTTTATTGTTCACTGAGTTTGAGCATCTCCTGTACAGCCCTTGGAATACGTCGTTGGCACAGCGTTCAGTCATGCCAAGGGTCAAGGTCATACTCCATTCAGTTAGTTGTTAGTTGATTGTACTTGACTGCGTGTTAGCGCACCCCGACGTTGTTCCTGATCTTTGATCACTGCATGTCTTATCTAGGCATGATTATTTACATGCCCTCATTGAGAACGAACTTGCTGATTGCGGTGTTCGCAGAAATTCGAAGTTCCACAATGACGTCAGGTTAAAGGTTTCACACGCATGTCCAGGCTTTGTCAGAGATAATCTGATGTTCTTTGAAACATTATGATTTTGTAGGAGCGTTTTTTTGGTGGAATATATGTTCGATAAAAAGGAGCTATATTTTATTTAAGTTTGAAGAAAAGACACAGCAGATTTGAGCCCATGTTTGGGCAAGTCATCTTGGAGAGGATAACCATTTGTAACTAGATTCCAGTAAAAATCCACGTCCCTTTTACTATTTTCAGAGCTGATTTCGTATCCGTTGATATGTAGACTTCAAATAAAACTCTTTTCGGGATTGTAAGTTATCAGCCAAAAGTTTCACATATTCACTTAAGATTGGTAAATTAGTGCTTTTGGAACTTTCCAATACAGTTTCCATGCCAACCGATGTATCACTACCACAAATCTTGATAAACAACCCGATCTACCAGCAACTGGTCATTTATATAGTAAATATGGAGTAATGGATTAAACACGAACCCAGCCTTCATGTATCTGGTTTGGATATTTCCCTATTCAGAAATGACCTTTTATACTTTTATACTGTCGTACACACGCCCACTGTGACATACACGAGCGAAGGATTTTAATGACAAATTATAATAGAGTTAGTTTTCTTTGTTTTGTATTTTGATGGCTAAGTTAATTTAGTTTGGGCTATTAAACGACCAGTTTGAAACCATCGACTGGTACTCATTAAGCGATTTGCTCTCATGAAAAAAAAACCCGCAAATATTTAAACACATCTTTGTCAAACAGTTGTATTGAACTGATGAGTGATATCTGTCTATAATTAGAAACGATAACTGTGATCACTGTGACATAACGTTTGATTTTCTAATGGAAAAGTATGTTATGTAATGTAATGACATATTAAACAGCAAATAGTATGTATCGCTGATCGCATACAAAGACAGATTCTGTACCGTATGGAAACAAACACTATGTGCTACGGTTGTTTGGTTTGTCTATGGGGTTGTTGCTTTTGTTTGTTTGTGTGTTTGTTGATATTAGTCATCACCAATATAATATTGCAAAAAACAGTAAATTATTCCGGTCTTATGAGTCTTTTCCGTTTCTTGTGTCATTGTGCCATGCTCACGGCAATGACATGTAGGCTGTTTGAACATGGTTTTGGCCACCCACGTGAAAACTTGGTCATAAAGCGCGAAAAAGCGCGAAGCACAGCAATTATAGACCGTTTGGCTCAAAAGCGGACCGATGAATTGCAATCTAACTCGAAAACTAATAACCGTAAAATACTCAATAAAACACTGATCATAATGAAAACGTCAGACCAACTCTGAGAGGTGTTGCAGAATTTATGTCCTAAAAATTAAAAAGTTGTTTAACAAACTATCATTAAAATATCGACACAGTTCACTATTTGTTACGAGGGAGGAGTGCAGAGAAAGGGACAGCCAGGTGTGCGAGAAAGGATGGAGACGGCACAACACAGGTTAATGAATCAATAACTTTGTCGGCACTTGTGCACGTGCTTCTCTAACAACTGGCGTTTCACTGAGTATTATATGTTTATTAGTTTTTGATTAGATTGCAATTCATCGGTCCGCTTTTGAGCCAAACGCACTATACATGCAGCAGGTCACGTGATCACATTAGTGATCGCAGGTGCATTGTATGAAAGCACACAAGAATCGTCAAACAGGAAAAGTTTAATGAAAAAAGCGAGTATCACAAATCAGCAAAGCGAGCGTGCCATGGGTAGGCTTATGTTGGAAAGCTGTCTGCGAGTGGAGACCAATCAGTTGCACCTCACACCTAAGGTGATCTGCAACGGTATCTGTGGAAGTGTTCTCTGAGACTGTTATGGAACTGGCCGGATCTCCAGATTTCTGTGACTGCCAGAACACAATTGTATATAATCCATGGAAGGGTCACGGGACAGTTTTACGGTGACGCTACACCACAGCAATTCACAGTTGGTGTTTCGAGTATAGGGCTGTGCTGAACAATCTCATAGGTATGCGTCAAACATGGATCCGATCGCATACATGGCGAGACCGCTGCGTTTTCGAGAAACTGATTGCGCTCCTACGCCATCCCGCTCATTGCATGGCCAGCAATGAGTCCAATTCTCGCAGGATTCAAAAGCTGGACCCACCAGTCCTCACTTTACAACAACCGATACAAGGAACACATCAAACAACATCATTTACAAATACACTACTAGATGAAGTGCAAACCCCGATTTAGTGATGGTATGAAAGCGTGTATCAGCTCGTTGTATGTTTCATAATTTGCCACCAAAAGATGGTACGCTGAAGTTTTGGTTGGCTGTATCGTTATTAGATACGAAAGAAAGATGGAAGAAATATTTTGGATGATGTATGGAACCTCATCAGCGAGTCATATTTTTGTAAAAACCCCAGATAAATATCACCTTTAGGTATCACTCAACAAATAATTGCATGCTATGTTTCAAGGAACTAAATTGGTAGATATGTTTAAAAATGTAACTAGGCGTCTTACCTTGTCACTACAATCTGACGTATTTAAAGTATCCTTTCATCAACTGGCCTTACGTCAATGTACATCATCAAACGTCTTCCCTAAAGAATAACAGTGAACACCTGCGCTTAAGAGAATCCACTCTGAAACTGGCAGTATCCCTAGTGCTGTGTGCGGCCTGTCACTGGTGATGTCGCAGTGTGGCACCGATGTAGTCGATACAATGATCACAGCCTTCACAGATCGATCGTGTCCAAACGTAATTCTTGACAGGATTCAACACTCCATATATATTTAACATCGCTGATCCTTACAATGGTTTGTAATAATATGATTAAAATAAAGTTGTTCCAGTTCGTTTCTATATTTGGATAAAGAACATGAACATGAACTTTGCCCAAGTTGAAATAGATTCAACTTAATGTTTGTGCAGAGTATTTTCCTCGTTCTTCCCAATGTATAAAGAAGCTTATTTTGGAGTATACAATGGTTCCTTGGTCGGCCGGATCGTAACAGAAACCGGATCTTGTGTGTTTTAGACATTTTCCTACACATGCTAACTATGTGTGTTCCGGTATGTGGTGTCTCACCGGTCGACACAGCTACTTTACTGTGGACACATATGCTTTAAGGTATGATCTCGATCGCAGCAAGTTTTTAGTAAATGGAAAAGAGTAATGATGATTTATGGCTTTTACCCTGGCTGTTACTTGTTTTACTTATATCAAATGTCCTTTAACTGCCAGACACACGACGTAAAAACCCCTTTTGAAGAGAAGGGTATTGATATGCCAAAGATATTCCACACAGATGATATATGATACGATGACATTTTGTTTAATTTGTTAACATCATCTGATTAAACTTGTTATTCCGTTCCGTTGTTGAAAATATAATATACCGACAAGGGAAACCTTGTACGATATTGATGAGTTCATAAATTACATAAATTTGCCTCCAAGTTAAGTAGCATTTGGAAAGACACATCCAAGTACTGGTCGTATGACTCACTTAATTAATTCCAGTTATGTCTTCAAAAGACGGAACGGAGATCAGAACACGTGTATTATAATGGCATATAGACAATCGGGTACACAGTTACCGATTTTGTAATTACCTCTCTATTCTGTCTCATTATGATATAGATTGACGCTCACACAGTGTCAGACTTGTACATGACACAGTGGTCTAATTATTCTGTATGGGAGTTAGAGAACACTACCTGATTCCTATTTATTCGGTATCCCATGGCAACTGTTAACAAGATCACATAAGTGCATTCACTTGAGAGCCGTGATATGTTAAAGAGTCAGGCAATTGTTCTATTAATCTTAAGAAACACATGTACATACATCTAGAGTTAAAATGCTTCCCTTGTTCCAGTGCCCTGACGTGTATTCTATCTCTTCGTTGGTAATGCAGGACAGCAACTTAATGTTAGTCAAAAAGGCAAAGCGAGTACATGTAATGAAAGACAAAGCCTGAGTATTTGTCTGAGTATTTGGGGGCGCGGTGGGCGAACTGGCTAAAGCGCCAGGCTAGTGATCCAGCGAGCTTGAGGTGACGGGATCGAGCCCACCTGTGACCGGGTGTAAAAATCTTGGAGTCAACTTTGTGTGCACACTCTTTCAGTGTTGTCACAACCCCTAGTGTACAGTACACAACCCTGTGCACTTAAAAGAACCCACGAATCCGTTGGTATATGACCAGATGGTGGCCACATGAATACGTGCAAACACCCAGCTGCGGGTACAGCAACGTGCAGTGAACTTGGACAAAGTACTGTGACTATGTGTCCCAGTCCACCCAGCTGTGAATGGGTACCTCGTAAGGATGGGAATGCCACAATAACTCGGTGCGCCTAGTGGCTGCAAGGGCTGTATGCTCCCCAGGGAGTTGAGATTGACAATACGATGTGCCGTTGAGATTGACATCCAGTGAACGAGGGAAAAACAAAGCGCATTTGAGCAGCTGAGCTGAGCTGGATATCGGCGCTATACAAATGTAAGTATGTATGTATGTCCAGTGTGTACATGTAATGAAAGACAAAGCCTGAGTATTTGTCCAGTGTGTACATGTAATGAAAGACAAAGCCTGAGTATTTGTCTAGTGTGTGCATGTAATGAAAGACAAAGCCTGAGTATTTGTCCAGTGTGTACATGTAATGAAAGACAAAGCCTGAGTATTTGTCTAGTGTGTGCATGTAATGAAAGACGAAGAGTTAGCACCTGCCAGACATGCTAATTATAAGTGTGTACATGTTATGAAAGACGAAGAGTTAGCATTAGTTGTCAGCCATCGGTATTTGTCTAGCATCTGTAAAAGACATGCCTGAGCATGTGTACATGTTATGTAATGAAAGACGAAGAGTTAGCATCTGTGAGACATGCTAAGTGTGTACATGTTATGAAAGACGAAGAGTTAGCATCTGTGAGACATGCTAAGTGTGTACATGTTATGAAAGACGAAGAGTTAGCATCTGTGAGACATGCTAAGTGTGTACATGTAATGAAAGACGAAGAGTTAGCACCTGTGAGACATGCTAAGTGTGTACATGTAATGAAAGACGAAGACTTAGCATCTGTGAGACATGCTAAGTGTGTACATGTAATGAAAGACGAAGACTTAGCATCTGTGAGACATGCTAAGTGTGTACATAAGTGTGTACATGTAATGAAAGACGAAGAGTTAGCACCTGTGAGACATGCTAAGTGTGTACATGTAATGAAAGACGAAGACTTAGCACCTGTGAGACATGCTAAGTGTGTACATGTAATGAAAGACAACAACTTGGCATCTGTAAAATAGACTAAGTCTGTATCAACAACGTAGTGTTTGCGAGGTTTGCTAATTGTGTATATGCAAATAACATGAAAGCACGTGGCACCTGGCTGAGTAGCCTTATAGCCCTGTTCCGATATATCTTTATGCAGCTTTGTTCAATGATTTTTGTAGGCCACTTGTACTCCATATCCTGCCTTTAAAGTGCGTCGATGCAAACTGATGCCACGTACGCCAATACTATTCATCACTGACTGATACCGGATATGCTTGAGGATGAGAATGGAGCTTACCCGGTCTGTGAAGTTCCTGATCTGGCGAACTAGTCTGGTAGTCAGGCCTGACAGTGGAGAGCAGTAATTATTGAGTATCTTTGTGTTTATGTGAGTTGTCAAATACGGGATCTCAACATCGTTGTCATGGCAACTACCCCTTTAAGAGGGCAAGTGCCTTCTTTGTAATTGACCCGTGAAGATCCGGAATAGAATAGGTCTTCACCAACCCATGCTTGCCACAAAAGGCGACTATGCTTGTCGTAAGAGGCGACTAACGGGATCAGGTGGTCAGGCTCGCTGACTTGGTTGACACATGTCATCGGTTCCCAATTGCGCAGATCGATGCTCATGCTGTTGATCACTGGATTGTCTGGTCCAGACTCGATTATTTACAGACCACCGCCATGTAGCTGGAATATTGCTGAGTGCGGCGTAAAACTAAACTCACTCATTCACTCTCTGTAATTAAATGACTAAAACTTATAGGTCCGACTGATTCATTTCATTTATTGAGGTTCATTTCTTTAAACTTTATACACAAACAGTACAGTATTGATTTTGTATCTGTATATATTTATTACGGTGACATATATTAAAAAGATCAGTTTCATGCAAGAACTATTTTCATCAGATTCCAGTACAAGGAGCTGGAACAACAAGTATTCAGTTTGGCCTTAGTAACCCATGATACGAACAGTGTTTGATCCCAATCACATATAGTGCAGAAGCATTGACACCATACGTCTTTTGTAAAAGAGTTATTTTACAGAGTTCTGTCACAGTTCAGACGCTCCAACCTTGGTAAACTATCCACTATGTTTGATATATTGGTGTTCTACACTGTAACGTACCCACTTGAGTTATGGCACTGATCGACGAAAGCTATCTTATCCAGAGTATGTTTTGCATTCACACAATTACGGACACTATACACACAGAGTTCATTACTAGCAGTAAACACAGTAGTTTGTGACTCATAAGGACAATGTGTCTATGGAGAACGTTTGCTGTGGTTCATAGTGACTATTGATGAAACAGAACACGTACTCAATCGATTGAAAATGCTCTGAACGCTGTAAGACCAACAGCTAAAGGTGCATTGTATGAAGAGCCTTACTTGGAAGGTGTACGCTCTATAAGACCAACAGCGGAAGGTGTACTGTATGTAGAGACAATACGTGGAAGGTGTACGCTCTATAAGACCAACAGCGGAAGGTGTACTGTATGTAGAGACAATACGTGGAAGGTGTACGCTCTATAAGACCAACAGCGGAAAGTGTACTCTATGTAGAGACAATACGTGGAAGGTGTACACTCTATAAGACAAACAGCGGAAGGTGTACTGTATGTTGAGTCATTACGTTGAAGGTGTACGCTCTATAAGACAAACAGCGGAAGGTGTACTGTATGTAGAGCCAATACTTGGAAGGTGTACACTCTATAAGACCAACAGCGCAAGGTGTACTGTATGTAAAGACAATACGTGGAAGGCGTACACTCTATTAGACAAACAGCGGAAGGTGTACTGTATGTGGAACCAATACGTGGAAGGTGTACACTCTATAAGACCAACAGCGGAAGGTGTACTGTATGTTGAGACTATACGTGGAAGGTGTACGCTCTATAAGACCAACAGCGGAAGGTGTACTGTATGTAGAGACAATACGTGGAAGGCGTACACTCTATTAGACAAACAGCGGAAGGTGTACTGTATGTTGAACCAATACGTGGAAGGTGTACACTCTATAAGACCAACAGCGGAAGGTGTACTGTATGTAGAGACTATACGTGGAAGGTGTACGCTCTATAAGACCAACAGCGGAAGGTGTACTGTATGTAGAGACAATACGTGGAAGGTGTACGCTTTATAAGAAAAACAGCGGAAGGTGTACTGTATGTAGAACCAATATGTGGAAGGTGTACCCTCTATAAGACCAACAGCGGAAGGTGTACTGTATGTTGAGACTATACGTGGAAGGTGTACGCTCTATAAGACCAACACCGAATAGTGCACTGTATGTAGAGACAATACGTGGAAGGTGTACGCTCTATAAGACAAACAGTGGAAGGTGTACTATATGTAGAATACCTGGATCGTGTACTCTCT